TGTGTCTGTGTGTGTTTTTGTTGGGGGGGGGGTCTGTCTTGGGTTTTTGTTCGCTTTTTCTGTGTTTGTTCCTGCGGTCCCCTGGAAGCCCCTGCGGGCTTCCGGGGACCTCGGGGACCTCCGGGGACCTGGGCCTCCAGGGACGGCGCTGGGGACCTCCCGAGACGCTCCTCGGAGCGGAGGGGGGGGCCTTCCCAGAGGGCGGAGGGCCTCTGGCCAGGGCCGCCCCCCCTTGGAGCGCCGCAGCCGCGCCCCACGCCTGCGGGGGGGGGAGGGGCGAGGGAAGGGCGGGCCTCCTCGGAGAGCCCGCCGGGCCCCTGCCCCCGAAAAAAATCCTGCCCCAGATGCTTTACGATGGCCTCTTAAGGTGGCACAGGATGGTCCCAGCTGGCCCGAGACCGCTCCGATGCGTGCCTCCGAGGAGCCCCCGTGACGCCCCCCGCCCCCCCCGAGCGTGCCTTCACGGAGGCCCCGGGACGGCACCCCCCCCGAGGGCCTCCACTATCACAGGATTGTACAAGCTGCCCCGAGCGCGCCTCCAAGGAGTCCCCGAGAGGGCCCGCCCCCTCCCGCTGGCCCCTCCCGGCCACGGACCGCTCCAGGATCGCCAGGGAGGCCTCCGGGGACGCCGGCGGGCACGAGGCCAGGCGCGGGTGCGGGGACCCGCGGGGCCTCGTCGTCCCCCGGGACCCGCTCCGCGCCCCGACTCGTCCCCTCACCGCCCAGGGGCCCGCAGAGGTCCGCGGGACCTCGCAAGCGGAATAAGCAAACAAAAACAAAAACAAAAAACAAAAAAAACAAGTGAAAAAAACAAAAAAAAACGAAAATACTATATTTAATATATATATATATATATATCTATATATATATAATATAACATATGGTAACAAATAATAATAATAATAATAATAATAATAATAATAATAATAATAATAATAATAATAATAATAATAATAATAATAATAATAATAATAATAATAATAATAATAATAATAATAATAATAGTAACAATAACAATAATAATAATAACACTGCGAATTTTAAACAACAAAGGAAACAAAAAAAACAAACAAACAAACAAACAAACAAAAAACAATACATACATATACATATATAACAACAACAACAACAACAACAACAACAACAACAACAACAACAACAACAACAACAACAACAACAACAACAACAACAACAACAACAACAACAACAACAACAACAACAACAACAACAACAACAACAACAACAATAATTACTAGCACGTGGGGACACTCCGTTCTCACCAGTGCCAGGGTTTTCATAGGAGGCGGGCAATACCCCCACTTTGTGGGGGGGCCGGTTCAAGCTCTACCAAATTTCCAAACGACTCTTCGCCACCACCCACACCCAGCTTCCCGCCCTATGACGTTCGGACACTTCACTTCGTGGCATGCGGACGACCGTGGCTACTATTCAGGGCCCCGCGGCCGACGACGACGGCGTGCGCGCGCGAAGAAAAAACGAATGTGTCCCGCATGGTATTATTTGACAGGGATGATGGCCCTGGCAGGTGCGCAACCGTTGTTGCAGAAGTTCGAAAAAGTTGCTCGCAAAAGCCCGTTTGACAGAAATGTTTAAAAAGTGTTGGGTTTCCTACGAATCCGCAAGAGCGCGCGGGATGAAATTTTGACATTTTTTACTAGAACCACGCGCGCGCTTCGCGCGCGCTTAGGTTCTAGCGCGGACTTCCCCGATTGTGAACGCGAGCTCGCCCCACACGGGAGCGCGCTGCCAGAAAGACCGCTGTCGAAAGAACGGCAGGGCTCTTCCGGCCACGGCGAGGGTCTTGGCCACAAAGAGGTCCCCCGGCCTGGAGCTAGGCAGTAGCACGACGAGCCAGAGCCGCTCCTGTGCCCAAGGCGGTCCTTGTTTCGGCGTCCTGGCCGGGCTCATTGCATGCTCAACGAGAGCTTCACCAACTACATCAAAACGCGGACTACAACAACCGCACCCTCATTATTCTGATGACTCAAATCGTGTCGACAATGTTGCAGCATACGGCTCTGGTGAGAAAGGATCGGAGGAGGAGGAGGAAGTGGAATGCCAGCCGTGCCTGGACGGGAAGACCCCAGCCAGCGCAAGGAGAGTCTTGTTCCATGGAGTGAGGAGGAAGACTGGGCGAACGAGGAGAATTAGTTCCCAAGGGAACCCACAGGACAGCCTCAAGTGACAAAACCATATCTGATTTATCTTTCAACAGTTCTCGCATTCTCGCCAGCTCGGGGCTATGAACCCCGAGGAGAAGGTGGCCCAAGATGGTCCCCGGGAGGGGCTGGAGAGGCCCGCAAGGGGGAACTCGTGGGGGCTGTTTGGGAGCCTCTTGAAGCCTCGTTTGGGCCTCCTGGGTGCCTCTCGGGGGTCTCCTGGGGCCTCTTGGGGCCCCTTTGGGGCCTCCCGGGGCCCGGTGGAGGTGGGAGGCTCGAATTTCCGGTTCGCGGTTCCCCTCTTGGGGCCCTCTGGGGGCCGTTTTGGGCCTATCTTTGCCCGTCTGGGGCGCGTCTTGGGCCGCCTTGGGGCCCTCCAGAGCCGTCTTGAGGGCCTCTTGGAGGCCTCTTGGGCCGTCTTGGGGCGTCCGCGGGGGGCCTTTGAGCCGTCGTGGAGCGTCGGTCAGCTGAAAAGGCGGGAAAGGCAAAATGTGTGCCTCTTGGGGCCCTCTGGGGGGGCCTCTTGGAGGCCTCTTGGAGCGTCTTGGGGGCCTCTGTGGCCGTCTTGGGCTTATCTTGGGCATCTTGGGGCCCTCTTGGCGCCCTCCTGGGCCTCTTGGAGCCTGCTGGGCCTGCGTGGTTTTAGCCCAGGCCGGGGGGCGCTGGACGATCTTGGACAACGCTATCAAGCACAGGCGCGCGACGGCATCTGAGGAGCTTCTGGGGTGTTCCGCATGCTTCGTCAACTTGCTGTTGGAGGCACCTCTTTTTTTTTTGTTACTTTGCAGGCTCGCGCAGACCGGCCTGGAAATGAATGGGCCTCAGGCGCAGGCTGAAGCCCCGCCATTGAAATGTGCATTCGTCTGTTTGCAGACATGATCGCGGGCGAACTGCACGCGTGAGCAAACAATGGTGTGCGTTTGCAAGGTTGGTTGAATTAAGCAACGCGCAAAGGTCCATTGCGCATGCGAATGCCATGTCTGAACAACTGCCTACCATCGTGCTTATATGCGACAGGGAAGGCGCGAAGCCCAGCTGACCACCAAATGCATGCGCGCAAACTCTGATTCTGATCGGCCTGCACCGATGTCAGTACTAGTGCTGCGACATGGGGCACGTCAACAGCTGCGGCCGACGAGAGAGCCGATCGCGCGACTGGAAATGCCGTCGCGCACCAATCGGCGGAGGAGGTGGGAGGGGAGGGAGAGAAGAGGGAAAAGCAAGGAAAGGCACTTTGGCGCAAGAGCCCCGGCATCAACGGTGCCGCTCCACCCGGTCGCATCGCGAAACCTCACGCAATTCCTGAATCTTGGCGTTGACGATGTCGCAGTCCCGGCAAGCACTGAAAGCCTGGCACATTGCCCTGCGCTGGAAATCTCCAAGGGTAGCTGCGAAATCCCTCAGCACTACGATCCCAAGCGCCCCCACGGAGTGAGGGCGCTTCACGACACACTGAAGCAGAACTGCAACGACTTCGCTGAAATGCTCTGAAGCTCGAGGTACTTTGAAGCGTGGCAACATACGCCCCAAGGCACCAAGCAACTGCACTGCAGACTCCATCTGCAGGTCATCATCGGACAAAGCTGCTTGCTTAAGAACGTAGATCCATTTGCCATGGGCGTAAGCATGCCATTCAGAATCAGTGTACTTCCTCGTGCAGAGGCAATTTGCTGGGCAATCAGACTTCGAGTACATGGGCACTGAAGAGACGGGCCAGAGCGGGTCATCTTCTGGAAGGTGGTAGCGGATTCCCACAAAGACCCAAAGAGCAGCAGTAAACAAACTAAGAGTACACAACAAGAAAACACACAGACGTCCACGTGCTACAATCGATCTTGACGGATCGACTTGGCTGATACACAGCATGCTCCGCGGGAAGTCGAGAACCAGTATGAGCAAAGTGTACACTTGATAGTTATACCGTGGTGCCATCATTATATATATAGATAAGTGAAATCCGATTGCGGCCCACGCCCACAGAGCTCTGAGCGGCGAAAGCCCTCCAGTCACAACTCGCCACCACCAATGAGACTCACACTTTGGGCCCATGTCAAATAGAAGTATCCACATGCTGAAAGGACCCTCGAACAACATCGTCAGGCTCCCAAGTGCTCTCATTACGCCCTGCGACTGAACAGCCATGGCGTTCAGGCAAGGCCATTTGGAAGTTCTGACTCGATGTAGCAGCCAATGTGCCAGCTCACGCCCCGACCAATAGTCGAACAACCCTGGTTGATTAAGAGACTTTGCAATGAACGCATTGATGTACATAAGAGCGCAAGCTGTCATGCCCCAAGTTCTCACCCAACTCGAAGCGATGTCGGCACCCACCACATGTGCCGCAAGCGTCCCCAAAGCAAGACCTATGTTCCCGTATAAACAAATCAGAGTGCGATGGTCACAATTCAGGTTGCGACCCGTGTGGCTCTGATCTCGAATGAACACGCCCGCCGTAGCCACGACGAGAGGCGTGACGAGGAAGCGTAATTTGCGATGCAGATACTTGCGCCAAGCACTGGCCAGCACGGTGCTGGCCCCCAAAATATGGGCAAGGGGGGTCAAATTGCCATCTATCTCACTCTGTCCTGCCATGCCATCCAGTGTAATCTGCATGAGGAAGTATATTGAGATTGTGAAATCTAAGTCCTTCAGAGGTGAGCCTCCCATCAACATCCGTGTAAAGAAGTTCCGATGCATCCCCAATACATCGTCCCCGCCACAATTTGACTCCATCCCCGTATACCTCCCACACCAGTACTGACCTACACAAGCGGATGCCAACCATATGATTGCTAGAAACAGCAACGTTTGACGGTCACGATGCTGCAAGCTCCACGCGTCTCCGACCACGAATTTAGGAAACTCTTCCCAAAACACAAGCCTGCAATCTGCGCTGACTGCGTGTGCGAACGCTTGTTGCCAATCATCTCGCCCTCCAATTGTTCCATTGCGTTGCTGCGCTATCCAAGGGAGCTGTGGGCCGTCCGTCCTAGAACTCAACGTCCGCCATATTTGGACGAACTGTACGATCAAACCGAGAAGGATAAAACAAGTCACAATGACGAGAGAAGCGCGCGTGCACGACATTACCTGGTCCACGGCAACGTCTTTTGCACCTTCGTCTCTGCGAAGTTCAGCGGTAGTTTTGGATAATCAGAAGGTGGGTTGGAAGTCAGAGGTCTGGCATCGCCCCCCCGTCCTTGAGCCCATCCCTTGGGCCTTGAGCCACAATGGCTACGGACGCCTGGAAGCAGTTTTGACGCATCGAGGGCACTCTTGGGCTATTTTAAAGCCTCTTGGACGTCTCCTACGAGCCTTTGAGGCCCTCGGGAAGCTTTTGGGGTCCTCGTCGGACCACTTGGGGGCCTCTTGCGGCCTCCTGTGGGCCTTGTGGGGGGACCGCTCTGCTGTTGGGTCGCGTTCCCCTTCTTGGGCCTCTCTTGGGGCTCTTGGGGCCCTCTGGGGCCGTCTTGGGCGCCTCAAGCACCGTCTTGGAGCCCTCGCGGGCCGTCTTGGGGCCCTCTTGGAGGCCTCTTCCTGTATATGGGAGCGGTATTGGAAGCCTCTTGGGCCGTGTTGGACATCGGGATGCCGAAGGCAGAAAACAGCGTAGAACCCGTCAAAGCCCAATCGTAAAACAATGAGTTCTGCCTCTTGGGGCCACCTTGGGAGATCTCTTGGAACCTCGTCGGCCCTCTTGGGAGCTTCTCAGGGGCCTCTTGGATCCGATTGGGGGCATCTTGGGTCTTCCCGAGAACCTCTCGGGGTAGAAAGCTCGGATTCTCGATTCGTGTTTCCCTTCTTGGGGCTCTCTTGGGGCCGTCTTGGGGCCCTCTCGGGCGCCTCGGGCACCGCCTTGGGGCCCTCGTGGGCCGCCCAGGGCCCTCGTGTAAGCCTCTTCGGCTATCTTCGAGCTGTCTTGGAGACCTCTTCCTCCTCCTCGTCGCCCCTCCTCCTCCTCCTCCTCCTCCCACTCCAGCTCTCTCTCCTCCTGATCATCCTCCTCCTGCAGCGTGTTCCAGAAGGCTCCCGCCGGAACATGCTGTGCACAAGTGCTGTCACTGCTCCCGCCACCGTGCCCTGGGTGGTGGGTCAGAGGCCTCATGGGTGTTGGTTTGGATCTCGTGGTTGGCCTGTCGGGGACGTCGTGAAGGCAGTTTCGCAGCTTCTCGGTAGCCGTTTTGGGACCGTTGTGGGGCCTCCTCGGGGCTGTTTTGTGGCCTCTTTAGGCCTCGTTTGGGCCTCCTGGGTGCCTCTTGGGGGCCTCCTGGGGCCTCTTGGGGGCTCCTTGGGGCCTCCTGGGGCACTCTTTTGGAGCTGTCTTGGGGCTCTGTTGGGCTGTCTTGGGCGACTCTGGGGCCCTCTTGGGGCCCTCTTGGGCCCTCTTGGGCCGTCTTGGGGCGCTCCTGGGGGCCTATTGAGCCGTCTTGGAACGTCGGACAGCCGAAAAGGCTGGAAGGCCAAAATCGCTCGAAAACCTTCGTAAAATCGACGATTTCGGCCTCTGGAAGCGCTCTGGAGAGGCGTCTTGAAGCGTCGTGGAGTGCCTTGGGGGGCCTCTCGGGCCGTCTTGAGCCTATCTTGGGCGTCCTGGAGCGGTCTTTCGGCGACTCGGGGCCCGCTTGGGCCGTCTTGGGGCTCTCTTCGCCCGTCTTGAGCGCGTTTGGGGCCGTCTTGGGGCCCTCCAGAGCCGTCTTGAGCCCCTCTTGGAGGCCTCTTGGGCTCTCTTGGGCTCTCTTGGGGCGTCCGCGGGGGGCGTCCGCGGGGGGCCTTTGAGCCGTCGTGGAGCATCGGAAAGCTGAGAAGGCGGGAAAAGCAACATGTGTCCAAAACCTCCGTAAAATAAACGATTTCGGCCTCTTGAAGCGCTCTGGAGAGGCGTCTTGAAGCGTCGTGGAGTGCCTTGGGGGGCTTCTCGGGCCGTCTTGAGCCTATCTTGGGCGTCCTGGAGCGGTCTTTCGGCGACTCGGGGCCCGCTTGGGCCGTCTTGGGAGCCTCTGGATGCCCTCCTGGACTATTTTGGACCTCCCCAGCCGCCCCGTCCTCCCATGGGGGGTTGGAGGCGGCGGCCTCCGAGGCCCAGGACGCGGAAACCCTGTAAAAACACAGGGAAAATGACCCCCGTCCCGGCCGGTCCTGGGGCCCTCTTGGAAGCTTCTTGGGCCGTCTTGGGGCGGTCTTGGGCGCCTCTTGGGCCGTCCTGTAACGTCGGAAAGCCCAAAAGGCGACTTTGTTGAAAATGTACGTTTTACGAAGGGAATGGGCAATTTTTGCGTCTAGGGGCCCTCTTGGGACGCATGTTGGAGGCTTCTTGGGGCCTCTTGGGGGCGTCCTTGGACGTCTGGGGTCTCCTGGGGCCTCTTGAGGGGCCTCCTGGGGGCCTCCTGGCGGCCTCTTGGGGCGGAAGGCTCGAGCTTGCGGTTCGTGGTCCCCCTCTGGGCCCCCTCTTGGGCCCGTCTTGGGGCCCTCTTGGGCCATCTTGGGCGCCTCTTGGGCCGTCTTGGGGCCCTCTTGGGCTGTCCTGGGGCCCTCTGGGAAGCTTCTTGGGCCGTCTTGGGGCGGTCTTGGGCGCCTCTTGGGCCGTCCTGTAACGTCGGAAAGCCCAAAAGGCGACTTTGTTGAAAATGTACGTTTTACGAAGGGAATGGGCAATTTTTGCGTCTAGGGGCCCTCTTGGGACGCATGTTGGAGGCTTCTTGGGGCGTCTTGGGGGCGTCCTTGGACGTCTGGGGTCTCCTGGGGCCTCTTGAGGGGCCTCCTGGGGGCCTCCTGGCGGCCTCTTGGGGCGGAAGGCTCGAGCTTGCGGTTCGTGGTCCCCCTCTGGGCCCCCTCTTGGGCCCGTCTTGGGGCCCTCTTGGGCCATCTTGGGCGCCTCTTGGGCCGTCTTGGGGCCCTCTTGGGCTGTCCTGGGGCCCTCTTGGGAAGCTTCTTGGGCCGTCTTGGGGCGGTCTTGGGCGCCTCTTGGGCCGTCCTGTAACGTCGGAAAGCCAAAAAGACAACTTTGTTGAAAATGTACGTTTTACGAAGGGAATGGGCCAATTTTTGCGTCTAGGGGCCCTCTTGGGACGCATGTTGGAGGCTTCTTGGGGCCTCTTGGGGGCGTCCTTGGACGTCTGGAGGCCATCTTCAGCATCTCGGAGCCCTCTTGGAGGCCTCACACGACTCTTCGCCACCACCCACACCCAGCTTCCCGCCCTATGACGTTCGGACACTTCACTTCGTGGCCTGCGGACGACCGTGGCTACTACACTGGCGTGGAGTACACACCCACAGAAGTTGTTAAGCCTACGTTCGTACACCCACAGAAGTTGTTAAGCCTTGTTAACCCACAGAAGTTGTTAAGCCTTCCACAGAACATCTGTTGGGGGCTTATTGGGTCCTCACGGCGGGCTCTTGGGGCCTCTTGAAGGCCTCCTGGGGCAACCTATGGCGCAACCAGTAGGGGGACGTTTTATTCTCGGCGGCCGAGGGCGCAACCTATGGCGCAACCAATAGGGGGACGTTTTATTCTCGGCGGCCGAGGGCGCAACCTATGGCGCAACCGCAAGGGATTGTGGCCCCTGGCAGGCGCGCGAACCCCGTTGCAAGAGCGTGCGAAAGTAGCTCGCGCGAGCTCATGTAACATAAATGTTGGGAAACCATTGTTTTTTTTAGGATTCGGACAGCGCGCGCGGGTGGAAATTTTGAAAAGTCGTGCAGCTGTTTTTCGAGGACCTACGGTGCGATTCGTGTGATTTTATGATGCGCGGTGCTAAAATTCTTAAGAACCCAATGGTTTTTGGAGATTTCGGCGTGCGCGCGCGAAGAAAAAACGAATGTGTCCCGCATGGTATTATTTGACAGGGATGATGGCCCTGGCAGGTGCGCAACCGTTGTCGCAGAAGTTCGAAAAAGTTGCTCGCAAAAGCCCGTTTGACAGAAATGTTAAAAAGTGTTGGGTTTCCTACGAATCCGCAAGAGCGCGCGGGATGAGATTTTGACATTTTTTTGTTGAAAAACCATTAGTTTTTTGATGTTTTTATGTTGAAATCGTTCCGAACACTAAGCTTTTGGAAGGATTTCGTCTTGCGCGCGCGAATGTCCACTTTACCTTATTTTTTGCAAAGGATTCTTGAAATTTGATTATATTAGAACAAGAAATGTCATTTTATAGTGTTTTTTGCAAGGGAAAGCGGGGGGGAACAAAACAACCGGATCTTGATCACATCGAATTACCTGAGGCTTCCTCACGAAAATGATGAAAATGTAGCTGCGGCCTAGGCGGCGCAGGGGGGCCGTGCACCAGGGGTCCCAACAATAATTATTCTTTAGAATTAATAATGTTCAACAACAATCATTTTACCCTCATGCGCCATGCTTCCCCATGACACATGCATCCATCTGGATAACACACCCCATCATGGGGGATTTTTCTGTCATGCGGGATCCGATATTCCCTCACCCAGATATCCCGCCCAAGAAGGTTTGGCCACCACCTCTTCCGAGGAACTTCAACATCCATAGCTCGGACGGCACATCGCCTTCGCAATCGCCTTGCGCATGCCCCGCATCTCAGAGGGAGAGGAAGAGGAAGAGGAGGGGGAGATGAGAGAGATAGGGAGGGGGAGGAGGAGAAGGGAGGGGGAGGAGGGGGAGGAAGGATGAGTAGTTGTAGTAGCAGCAGTTGATGATATTGTTGTTGCGGCTGTAGCACTAGTAGTAGTGGTAACGGTAGTAGTAGTCCAAGTAAGTAGAACTGGCTTGTGGCAGCCAAGCGTTCATAGCGACGTTGCTTTTTGATCCTCCTTTAATGTCTTCTCTCCCTATCCTTGAGACGCAGAAGTCTCAAAAAGTTCGATGGTTCTTCGCATCCAGGAAACCTATCGCTGGACCGGCCCAGATATGGTTCCAGAAGCGGCTCGGGAAGCTGCGCAAGCGCCAGAAGCAGAGAAGCACCACGTACGGGCGCCGGCTCGGGCGTCCGGCCCACAGCCGCTCCAGAATCGGCCCAGGACGGCTTCCCGGGCGCCGCAAACAGAAATTCAGCATTTTCGAAAGAAAAATGTGTATTGGAATGGCCTCTTTTCGGCGCGATCGGCTGCCCCGGCGTCCGGCCCGGGAGCCGGGCCGAGTGCCGGCCGGGCCGGGTGCCGGCCCGAGCTCCGGAATCGGCC